GAACAAAACTTCGCGGGATGCTTTGGTCCAAGCATCGCACACCCAACCGCCGTGGACGCGGCCCCACATAGCTCAAGCGATGTAGCATGGCCACCGATACGAATCGTTGCTTATGCTGCATCATCTGTCTGAAGCAGTCCATGTTTCGAAGATAGCGGTTTGGCCTACTAGCGGTCTTTTACAAAGCCCCAACTATTCCGCATACGGCCTTCCGATGCTTGAACGTTTGGAAGAGTTCTTCGATGGTCCCCACAAACGAAGGTCTAGCGGGCCTGGAACGAAAGCTCGGGGTCGAACCATTCGGGACTGGTTGTGACTCCTTGCTGGGTAATTTGGAACGTGACATGTGGTCTGATGGCTAGCATAGAAATCGCCAACTAAATCTTCGTAGCCTTCATCCGAGCTACTTGTTCACCAGCTGCATAGAACTGACTCATGTTGCTGCTACGGCCACACTCACGCTGCGGCCGACTTCACTCTCGGGACTGAAAAGTGTGATTGACAAGGGCTGAGTGGGATTATGCAAACTTCATTTCGATGCCGGGGGCGTTGAAACGGGCCCTCAACAGGCAAATTAACAAAAAGGTGAATTCGCGTCCGAGCTGTCCTTCTGCGGTAGCTTCTACAGCCGCGACTACCGCAGAACGTCGCTCGGGTTGCCCAGCTGTCTCGGCTATCTTAGACATCGCGCAGTCAACAATGAGTCTATGTGCACAGGTTCAACCCAACACATACATCAACGGTCTAGTGTTCGTAGCAGTTTATCAACGGGACACTTTAGGCCCTAAGCCGCCAAGACATCTCCCTACTATTGCCCGCCTCCGGAAAGGACTCCTGGATGGCCTCCGGAACGTGTGAGGCTGTTAGGTATGTGTTCGGAGCACTACGCGAGCATTCCTCATCTCAACAAACCACCACAACAACCACAGCAACAGCCCTAGCACCAAACCGGCACCAGCACAAAGCACCACCACCGCCGCCACCACCAGCAGCTCCAGCCCCAGCAGCTGCAAGCCTGCACTGTTCATCCATGTCCAGCCGCTGTTTGACAGAAGATCGGCAATGCATGCGCATGCGACCGGGCATGCTGATGGGAGTTTGTTGCACACAAGCTTCTATTGCCAAGGTCGCAAACAGACGCGCAAGTTGGTGCTTCCCATGCCGCATCTGGTGTGTATCCTCACGGCCCATCACCATGGTCTGGGAGTGACCAAGTGTGCGACGCCACTACGGTCACTTGCGACCACGTTTTTGCTTGGTCTCATAGCAGGGTCACAGGAATGAGCTGCTTGTCACGTTAAAAACAGCATGCCTGCCAAGGTGCCGCACAACCCTCCCCCTAACCTTCCCCACCCAGCCCGTCAGAGCGGACGTGGTTGTGATGCGCTGCGTGCACTAAAGGCTATTATGTTTCTGGCACGCCGTGATGCACCACGCGTGAAATCATGTTATTATCCGAGCACCCAGGGTTCAGGGTCTAGGGTTTCCTCAACAGTTGAAGCCATGCTGAGGTTGGCTAATGTTGGCTATGGGGGTTCTGGATAGGCGACCCCCGAACCCACCAACCTCATGCCCCCAAACCCTGCATTACTGTTTGGGAGGCATCTACAGCCTACAAACCCTGTGCCCGTGAACCTTATAAACGTTACGCCGCCAAACCCCACAAACCCATGTTTCTTGACGTCAGCAGAAGCCCTGAATCCATGGGTCCATCGGTTTCTGCAGCGATGGCTGCGAAATTGGAAAAGGCAGGGGTTTGGCGTCCATGGACGGAAGCCCTGTGATGCTTTTTTGCCCGGAGCAAACGGGTGTGTTAACTGCCATCACATGGACACAGGGGTTCCAGGAAAGGTCCCGAGGAGGGTCCCGCTCGTGACACAACGTCGCTATTATCCCCCCCCACCCCCCACATCAAGTGGTAAGTGGATGCTGTTGTGGTGTAGCTCGTGACATGACGCTAGCCGCTAGCATTAGCCCCCCCCACCCCGCACATCAGGTGGTCACATTCAAGTGGATGGTACAACATTGTTACTAGCCGCCCACCCCGCCTGCTCCCCCTGTAGGTGCAGAGATGATGTGATCACAAGCGACGGATGACGTGGTCACAAGTGACCCAGAATGACGTGGTCACAAGTGGCCCGAATCACGTGGTCACAAGAAGTGACGGTGCTGTCGACGGGTCTTCCCAAGCAGACCAGTCATCCCGCTGATCTTCCCAAGGCTCATTTTCAGCCTGATCTTGGCGTTTGCGTTCGCCACCAACAACAACAGCAACAGCGCCAACAACAAGAACAAACACAATAACAAGAACAATCTGCAGCAGCAGCAGCAACAACAACAACAACAGCAGCAACAGCAACAGCAGCAGCAGCAGCAGCACCACCACCACCACCACCACCGGCAGCAGCAGCAGCAGCAGCAGCAGCAGCAGCAGCAGCAGCTTCTGCATCTGCATCTGCAGCAACGAAAGCAACACCAACGACGCCAAAAACGCCAACACCACTGCCACAACAAGAATAAGAAACAACAACAAGCACCATAACAAACGCAAGACAAAAAACAATTACCAGAACTACCAATAACAAGAACAATACCAAGAGCAGTTGCGAGAAAACTAACAAGAATAAGAAAAACGACGACGACAACAACAATAGCCACCACTACCACCACTACCACTGCCACGGCCACGGCTGCGACCGCGACCACGACCACTGCGACCACGACGCCCCACAGCCGTGCACGGCTGTGGTTTGGGGGGGTGTCTTTTCTGGGCATTGGTTGGGGGGGCACTACTACTACTACCTACTATTACTACTACTACTACTACTACTACTACTACTACTACTACTACCACTACTACGTACTACGAGTACAACAGCTACTGCTGCTACTCTCCTCGTCCTCCTGCTGCTGCTCCCCCTACGAAAGAAAGCTTCTACCTACAGCTGCAGCCACAACAGCAACTCAGCAACAGCAGGTGCTGCAGCAACTAATACAAACAGCAACACATCGTCATATCACCGTCACCGCCGCCATCATGCAACCTTGCCTCCCGGATCTCTTGCGGCCATGGCCGTGATCAGTTGCGGTAACTGTACGCAAGCTTCTCCGCTGAGACGCATAGCAGTACCGTTTATTCCAGGGCGCAGACTCGTATCTAACATAGGGCTAACCGGTCTTGGTTCTGGGCTTTGAAGTTCTCTTAGCATCTGCCATGTGTGATTTCGGACCAAACTGCTCACCGACACGAAAGCATGTGCAAAAAAAAGATGTCGGACACCTTCTCCAGCATGGCCGCATGAAATTGACAAAAGGATGAGGCAAAAAGATGCTACCTGGTTCTAAGCCCGTGAAACTTGACCATCAAATCTGAAATGAACAGTGTTCCTCATTACGGCCTTCTCTGTCACTTCTATGTCAAGTACCCAGCTACGGTAATTGGCCCGACAGGTTAACAGAACACATGCGTACCTTCAACCACTGACTTGAGCATATACCATATAGGTCGTAAAGGGAAAGAGGCTCACCGTTGGCTCACACCGCCAGCACGAGCCCTGCCCCATGAAAGAGGCCCCTGGCAAGGCTGATACAACAAGTGGGATTCCTTTCTCACCTATCACTGCAAGCATGTCCGTGCATCAGGTTGGAAGGAGTGTTTCGGCTTGCCTGTCGCTGACATGCACGCACACCTTTCGAACGAAACACCTACAAAAGATCTCCGGCAGCTGGGCCTCCCTCGATTCACCCAGCCCTCTGCAACGACACCCCGGCCAACGAAAGACAGATGTACATGCCAGCAGGCTTGCGTGAACCTGAAAGCATACAGCAAGCAGTCCAGAGCAGCGAGCGACATCACACGCGAGCAACTCTCTGATGTGCAATCATGACTCACGAAAACAAAACCCTGAAGGCCCAAAGACGAAAGACAAATCTCAAATCCCAGTCCTAACTTCCATCAAAGCAGGCTCGGCCCACACAAGGACGGGCACGCCCACGCCCAGCTGGAGAAGCTCGGATCCAGATCCTTACAATCGGGCTGCGGCGGCTACGACACAGGGCCCAACAGCCCGGGTGTCTTCGATGAGTTGGGATCAAGCACAGTCACCGAGCAGCTTGTTGCGAGCGGCGAGGGTGTAGAAACAAGCAGCTTGTCTTTGCAGACCGTTTGCTGAGTTTTCGGCCCCTGTATCTGAGAAGGCAATGGTAAAATGCCTCAGAACGGCGGATTCCCAGTGTGCCCAGGATCCTTGACTGCCGTGTACTGCTTTGGGAACACATGCATTGTCATCTTCAAGTTATCTCGTGCAGGTTTTCAGATGAGCAGCCTTTGGCCATCCATTTTTTCTGGTCTCACTATGACACAGCAAAGCCAGTGCACAACACGGAACTTGACCCTGGCTTCAGGAACTCCGAGGCCGCCAGCAATGGCGAGGATGGCAGGCAGGGCCTGGGGAGATCGCAATGACTCTCGTCACTCCAGTTCTCGGAAAATGTCTGAGGTCTGGGACCCGGTTTCAAGGGCTTGGAAAGGGACTTGTCCAATTTACGAAACACGTGTGGAGTCGGCTCCGGGGTGGAGAGTTTGAGCACTGTATTTCACGAACAGATCATTCTCCAAATCAAGGATCGGATGTTGTGCATCCAGGAAAACTGTCAACAGCTCACCCGTCTCAACGTCTGCCACGCTGCACACTACTCGAACGCTCGCTCTGAACATGACCGCATGTTTTGCTTGAACGGCAGAACCTTAAAACCAAACCGGTCGGGATATGCTAATTGCCAGGACGGTCCCTTCACCCACACGGAGGTATGTAGGCAAGGCGGCCACCAGTGGCGATTTTCTTCGCATTTCAAAATCTGACAGTCACCGGGGCTCGGGCAACCGCTGCCGAGAGATTTCCGACCTTGGCTTGTTTGGGGTGTGAATGACTGGTGTGGAGCCTGCTGGGCGAGACGAGGTGACGGCAATTCCGTGGGAGCTTTGCTCTGGATTCTTTTCTCTAGCCAGCACGCCCTGCCTGGCTGGGTTCGAAAGCGCTAAACACGAGTGCCTTGTATGCTTGGTTGACAATCTGCTCCTGCGGGATACCTGCAAAAGCGAAGTCGGCATCTGCCTTCAGCGCAGCGATGCTAATGCCCTGCCATCCCCACCTGCACAGAAGCAAGCGTGTCACCTCTGCATTGAGAAGTGTGGCGTTGTTGTCTCCGTTGCTGAGGACTACCATCACCTTGCCCGCATCGGGACCCTCAAAGCAAGCGATGTAGACACCCCGGAATCCTTCGTTTGCGGCCTGATGCACCGCCACCTTGTTCGGGCCGGCATCCATGACGAAGACCCCAAGGCCCATGCAAGCGCCCATGAAGTCCACTGAGCCAAGATCACGCACATGGTCCCGCAGCACGGCCACAGCCGTCGCATGCAAGATCGGCACTTTTGCCGAAGGATCTGAGTAGGCTGCGATGAGCTCGGCCCAGAAGTTAGCCAGAGCTCGGGGTGTCCCTAGGCCGCCAGCAGCAAAAGCTGGAAAGGCCAAGCGGCCGACGGGTGGTGCAATGACTTCCCCGGCATCGGAGAATCCAAGAGCATAGCGGCTCTGAGCGCGTGGCAGAGCTCTGGGATCGAAGCTGAAATCTCCGAGGCCCGTGACGTCTAGGAAAGGGCGGCACACTGCCTCGATGGCTTTGCCTTCCATCTCCTCGATGAGGTGCTGCAAAACCAGGAAACCACCACCTGAATAGCCAAAACATGCCCCTGGCTCCTTGCTGACCTCGATGGCCTCGTAACCAAGATCCCGTCGCTCCCCAGAAATAAGCGAGAGGACAGCTGGAAAGTCTGTGTCTAGTGGGACACCATGCACATAGTGCATTCCCAAACCGCTGTGGTCCATGAGATGCCGCAACTGAACGGACTCAGCCCATGCCTGCGGGATCTTGCCCTCAGCGACACGCAAGCGAAACGGGGAGGCCGTGCGTGCGAGAAGGAGGTTGACGGACTCCGTCAATGCAATGCCCTTCTCGGTAAAGTATTGAGTGGCGAAAACAGAAGCCACCGTCTTGCTGAGCGAGGCGTGCTCCATCCAGTGACGAGGTGTCAGAGGCGCAAAGCCATCCGAAGTCCCGACTGCCAGGTCCAGATGACTGACGGGCCCGTTCAGTGCGACGCTGACCTTGACATCAGTGCTAACGGACATGATGAGTATTATATATCGACACAGAAAAGGATTTACGGCTTGGAGCTCAGGACCCCTGCTGTTGGACTACGGCGCGTGACAGTCGGCACTGACCAAACTCAAACTGTAAAGTCAAGCCGTCCCAGACACCCCCCGCACTCCTCGCTTCTGGAGCAGTGTTTCCAGCTCGCCACGCAAGTTCTCCAAGTTTCTAGGCTCCATGGCTCTCAGCGCGGAAGTTTGCAGGTCCTATATATGCTCAATCTCAAAAGACTCGTGGAGTGGGGACGCTCACAATGTGGCAGGGCTCGATAACTTGAAGGATCAGGTCTGCAGGGGCATTCCTCATCAGTCTTCAATACCCAGGATTTGTGATTTGCGTGGCTGCAGGCAATTAGTCTCAGGGAGTAGTCTGCCCCTTGGTTGTGACCGGACTTACGCTTCTCTTAAACACGATCCCGAACAAAACCCCCCCTGCGAACCCTGTAGAACCCCAAACCCCACAGACCGTTAACTAAACCCCACGCAATTTTTAGCAATCCAAATCTAACCGTTGAGCAGGTCTAAGTCTACGTCATCCGTATCCTGAAATCTCAACCCTAAGTGTCATCCCCCGAACTTCACGGCCAAAAACCTAAACAAAACCTGACTGCATTCGAAAACCGAAACCACACAAGCAATGAACTCTGAAGGGGCCCATGCAGCACCCGCAGGCGGGCCCAGGAGGCACCTGTACTTGAGAACGCGATCAGGCTCTTGGGGGCTCAGTTTCCGGGCGTCAAGGTTTTCGGGCTCTGATGCTTGTGGCTTCCAGTTCAGCCTACTTCTCTCGCCGGAGTCTGGGCTATGCTGGGCGCCTGAAGTTGGCCACGAAATGCGATGAACAATGAAACAAGGATAGCCGCAGAGAACACTGTCCATTGCTGAGGATTTGGTACCCCTCGCCGAAAGGATAAGCTTCATGCGCATCACTTTACAGCCCGCTGATAGGGACAGTGTAACTATGCAAAAGGTGTCCACATAACATTTGTCCAACTCGTGTGTTGGACCCTTATGCACACCCTACACCCGAAAGCGAAGGTAGCATTCTCACTAGGCCATTCCGATATGCTAAACCGTGTCACTCCGCATATGTAAGGTGAAGCCGACATCCCGTGGTTTGCAGTTTTCATCTTTGGGCTTTCCCTCCTTAGCAGCCAGGCTGCAGGAGCCATCTCGATCCATGGACATTCAATCTCTCTCTCTCTCTCTCTCTCTCTCTCTCTCTCTCTCTCTCTCTCTTCCTCACTGATTCCTCATTCCCTCTTTGTGCATACCATATACAAAAGAGCACATGCATGCGTATGTACTTATACGTATATAATATACAACAGCGTAAACAAGTGTGCATGCTTGAACTCATACATGTTTAGGGAGAGTGCCACTCTTCCACAAACGGCGAGCACACACATGCACACACATACATATTAATATGCGTATATAGATATAGGTATAGATATAGGGATGTAGGGATATAGAGACACAGAGATATACACACAAATATACATATAGATGTGGATATAGGTCTGCATGAGAGTACTCACGCATGCATGCATGTATGTTCGCACGCATGCAAGTATAAGTTTTGCATCACATTAATACCAGGCATGCTGCGTACATGTGTATACACATTGAAAACGTTGTATGACTCTCTCTCTCTCTCTCTCTCTCTCCCTGCGTGTGTGTGTGTGTGTGCGCGCATGTTATATATCATATGTTAACACCAAGTATGCGTACATTTGTATTTATATGGAAAACGTTGCATGACTCTCTCGTACTCTCTCTCTCTCTCTCTCTCTGTCTCTCTATCGTATCTGGGGAGGGAGAGGGAGAAAGAGAGGTAAACCGAGAAAGAAAGAGACAGAGAGAGAAAGAGGAAGAGAAAGAGACGAAGAGAGAGAGAGCAAGAGAGAGCCAGAGCCAGAGCCCGAGCGAGAGCAGAGCAAACTTTCTAGCAGCCATGACCGGAAGAGCTGCTTGCCTTGCGATGACATCTCGTGCAATGCCGCCACCTCTGCTGCCAGACGCTACAAGGCTTGTGCTCACAACCCTTATGTACTCAACCTGTAAACTGCCTACCAATCCAACAAGTACAGGAAGCAGCTCAGGCACTGGCCGATCAGTCCCCCTGGAAGTCCATATTATACATAATGTAGGAACCTGAATAAGAAACCTTCGGCCTTTATTACATTAGGCCGAATCCTACTATCTTGGGGTTATAGGCGCAGAGTCTCTCAATAAGGTTCCTGCATTAGGTAACTAGGCCGACCAAAGATGCACCACTAGAGTGGGCTCACTCGATCCGGATGTATTCCGATACTTCCTAGTGTCGGCTTGCTCATGCACTGCCGCCACCCTCAGCCTTCCATCTGCTATCGTAGCGCAGGCAATTTCTGCATGAACTTAGGCCGCGGCCAAAGCTGTAGGTATAGGTGGCGACCACACAATAGAAGAACCTAGCGACACAAGATCAAAATGGATGAAATTACGAGTTTATGTAAGCCAACATCCCTCTATCCCTACGACCAGTCAACGGCTCTCATCACCCAACTTTCACACCCAGTCCTCCCTAATTCAACGGCTGGTGGCCTACTTCTCGTATTCGGATGCAAGATATCCGAGACCGAGGCTCCAAACCACACGGGGACCGTCTTTCAGGATGCTCGGGCTCTCGGGCTTTGGAATCGCGGGTTCCCGGTTATCTGTGATGCTGCATGTGACGGGAGGTGACAGGAGTAATAGGACCTGCAGGACGACCAGAAGCAGCCAGTGCACTCCCAGGCCCGCAATTCTGACAACGAGCAGCATGCAGTCACTGCCTCATCCAGCTTCTGCACACTCCCTGGGCATCTAGCAAGGACCTAAGCGATGCAAAGGGAGTTTCCCCACTGCAAAGGCGATTTCTGGAAGCAAGCATCAACACACACATGCAGACACACGTGTTTTCCTCTGCAGGGCCAACAGCGCAGCGGCGCGGCATGCTGTGCATTGCAGGCACGACGCGCAAAGCGCTGTGGCTGATCCGCATCTTAACGACTCGTACCCTGGCCTCTTCCTCCGACAACCTAGCCAAGTCTTCACGCAAGAGCTGTGTCATGTAGCACGACAGCAAGAGCAAAATTCATGCACAGACTGTTTCACATGAGGCCTCTGCCGAATCAAGTCCATGTCAGAGGTCAGAGATCAGAAACATTAGACGAATAGTTCAACTAATTAAACGACCGGACACATCTTGGCCAGCCAATCCCGGCATCCATCTGCATCGACAAGAAGCAGTTACGGAGACATGGAGTCGCTCCCTGACTCCTGCGCTGTCAAAACCCCAAACCCGACATTCTACAAACAAAGGCTGCAGGCTGTAGCAGCTAGGTTTGCTGCGACCAATTTCCCAGCAGTTGCTCTTACGTTGCACAATCGATCCGTCTCTGCACCGATGTGGTCCAGAGATTCCTTATCTGCCCATCCGCAACCCCGGAAACATTGAATTTGCAATCGAACCCAGCTCGAAGGGTTGAACCTTGAATACAAGAAATTTGGAAAGCCGGCTGAGCACGTAGCACGAGTAGTTATTATACCCCAACTTCGCCCCCTCTATACTACAGTACATGTCTCCGTCGTTCATTACACATCAGGCCTCGTGATTCAGGGCGTTGCTTGGGGCTGCCTTTTGGGTGGGCCCGGGCTCTTTGTCATTTGTGGGGCCCTCTCTGGCAGGATTGGCTGAACGGTCGGCCGACGCCCCCAGCAGCAAAAATCCTCTGGCAGCTTCTGGAAGTGGAGGGTTTCTCATAGAGAGGCGTCCCTGTTTGGGTTTTCTCACAAAGCCGGGTTCCATGTACCAGTTGGACTATTTACAGTCGCTCTTGGCAGGACATCTTTTACTTATACCTTCCAGGAGCCACGAGCATTCTATACACGCCTACAGCCGATGTGCACAAACGGTGGCTGTCACACCAGAAGGTGCCTTCGAAGAAGGGCACCACGTGGCCTAGATCAACATAGCCCTTTTGTAAACCGTCGGCATTGGTCAGCAAAGATCTACAACATCCACTGAAGGCGAACAGTAGGGGGAAATCTCAGATGTGTGATGTCGTCGATGAAATGCAGCTGGAATAATTAACTGAGGCTTTGGGTCTGTTTCGCAAACCGAACTAAGATGGCGGTGCTGGAATGGACTTGCCATGGTGTACAGCCACGTGCAGCGAATTTCTGGATGTTTGTTGCACGCGCAACTCTTGAGCATTATCTCTCTTGCAAAGCATCCGCAACTCCTGCACAACCAATCTGCTTAGGTCGACTCACCCGACTCACCGGAGACCCAAGGCCGGGCTCACATTGCTCACGCGGCTCTGCAGCTTCCCAAGCAGCAGCTCCACCCGTCGCACACGTGCCTCGCGAGGAAATGCGGTCGATATATCTCTCTGGACAACTTTATGGATGTATGTGTGCGTACAGGAGTTTGTAAAGGTCTATACCGGATACGCAAATTACACAATATGTACACTGTACATGTATACAATACATTACCGTTACCATTGCAATGCCATGGCATGCCAAAGAATTTTCATTACATGTCCTTTCATTCCGATACCTTCACTGGAAGTTACATTGCATTCGGGTTGTATTTACGTTACGGTACAATATAGTATACTGCGTTACGTTACATCGCATTACAATACATCACGTAGCAGCACGCCCCGTTTCACTACTTTGCGCTCGCCCGTACCTCTCTATAAACGTGCATGCAAACAAAAAGTGCTGTAATAATATTGACATGAACTCAATATTTTAAAGAAACATAAAACATATTAAACAACTAAATAAATCAGTACATAAACATGCAAGTAAGCAACACAATACATATATATATATATATAACATATGTACTTCCGTTTACTTATTTATTTAATATATTTGTCTTCTTATTCGTATATACATATACATGTGGTACCCTCCGCCCCTACTCCACCGCAAGTTCTGCCGCCTGGGTTCAAGGTTCCCGTCAATAAACGATGTTCCCTCATGCCGAAAAGGTGCACTGATTTGCAGTTTTCGAGCCCCAGGATTCGCTAACCCGAACCTTGAGCCTACTCAGAAATCCTTGCATTAACAAGTAGATTACTAAATTCATCGGTCGTCAGCTCCCGATGCATCCCCGCATCTACTCATGCTCAACCTCCCCTTGAAAGGCGGACCAGATCGAATCGTCGCAGGCAGTTTTCTCACAAGGGCACATTGTTTCGACTCAGAGGGACTAAACGAGGGCTATAGCCACCCTCCAGTTCCAATCCTGAAATCTATTTTCCCAAATCCATAAAGTGCGTAACCACCCAAACCAAAGGTGTGGCACCTGATCCAGATGGCTCTGTGCGTCTGCAAGCTCCTCCTTCATAGATCCGGTCTTCGCCGGGATGTTCAATACGGATAACCGGTTTTCGGGCTAAGGTTGAAGCATGTAACGTTTGAGGATTCGGATCTCTGGTGGGCAGCTCTGCAATGCTGACCGGAGTACTGACCCGGAGCCCTAAAACTCGAAGCCCTGACTTCCACAATGGCTTACAGTTCGCAGTTTTTTACATTTAGGCTCTGGCTCAAGCGCTCCCGACCTCGTTGAGGCTCCTGGGGCTTTGCAAACCCCTTCTCAATATGGCTTGCACTGTTTGAGGAGTAGTATGCTTTATAGCTGGCAGTGAAACCAAAAGCGGCCCTTGAGTTAGATGAGCAACAGGCATCAACAGGCGTAGTGCGACGGGTGGCGACATCAGGGGCAATACGACGATCCGAGAATCAGCTTGGAATGCCTACCAGCTTCAACACCAGCCCAAGCAAGCCTGAGCAAAATCAACCCCACCAGCCACGTTCGACAGCAGCACACATATCGAGAAATAAACACATGGCAAAAGCCCCGGCTACCTTTCCTTTCCAGGGCTCCTTGCGTAGCTGGCTGCTGCACGACGAAAGCCGCATGCTGCGTTCATCGACAAGCTCCTGCTTTACCTGCAAAGCACACTCCTCATCAGTGTGTTGTATCGCAGTACTGCCAAAGTCCACGGTCCCATGCTGTCTCACAGCTCTGTCACGGAATGCGTGGCTAACCTTCCCTCGCTTTCTCTCTGTGTGGCTGTTCATAAGAACATGTATTCGAGAGTTGTTTTGGCGTCCTCTGTCTCTCGATCTCTCTCTCTCTCCCTCGCTCTCGAGGTTAGAGGTGTTTTTTCTCAGAGCTGTCGTCGTAGTAGTTTCAGCTGCAGCAGCAGCAGTAGTAGTAGGGGCAGACGTAGGCGAGGGCATAGGCATGGGCGTAGGTGCAGGCGTAGGAGCAGGAGGAGTAGTAGCAGTAGCAGTAGCAGTAGCAGTAGCAGTAGCAGTAGCAGTAGCAGTAGCAGTAGCAGTAGCAGTAGCAGTAGCAGTAGTAGTAGTAGTAGTAGTAGTAGTAGTAGCAATAGTAGTAGTAGTAATAGTAGTAGCAGTAGTAGAAGTAGTAGCAGTAGCAGCAGCAACAATGCCAGTAGTAGTTGTAGTGGTAGTGGTAGTGGTAGTGGTAGTAGCAGTAGTAGCAGTAGTAGCAGCAGTAGTAGTAGTAGTGGTAGTGGTAGTCGTAGTAGTAGTAGTAGTAGCAGTAGTAGCTGGAGTAGTCGCAGCAGTCGTAGCAGCGGTCGTAATAGCACTAGAAGTAGGAGTAGCAGCAGTAGTAGTCGCATTAGTGAGGTAGTCGCAGTGGTAGTGGTGGTAATGGCGGCGGTGGTGGTGGTGGTGGTGGTGGTGGTGGTGGTGGTGGTGGTGGTGGTGGTGGTGGTGGTCGTCGTCGCAGTTGCTGTTGCTGTCGTTGTCGTTGTTATCGTTGTTGTTGCTGCTGTTGTGGTGGCGGTAGTAGCACCAGGAGTAGCTGGAGGAGTAGTCGTACTCGCAGTAGCAGCAGGAGTAGTAGTCCTCGTCGTCGTCGTAGTAGTAGTAGTAGTGGTGCAGTAGTAGGAATGACTGGTAACAGTAGTCGCTGTAGTCGTAGTCAAAGTCGTGGTGGTCATCGTCTTCGCATTAGCCGTCGTCCTACTAGTGGTTATGGTAGTTAAGCAGCCTCCTGCTTCGCGCGCTTGGCAATGGTGGAGGCTTCCAGAGGGACCCGGTCCAGACGCAAGCGGCGCCTTTGGGCTTTATGGTTCCGTTTATCCTAGGCTGCTTAGTATGAGGATCCTGCTATTTGGAGTCTGCGCTAGGATCTTCACATCGTCTGAGTATTCACACTGCGTTTGAAGATCCCAGACGTGAGGATAGTTTAAGCATGGTACGGTTTTCCAAATCTTCAGTTGTCTCCGGCCGAAGCAAAACAAAACCAAGACTAGCGACGGAAGTCATCACAAGTCATCACCTCATGCAAACCTGCACGAAAGTTACTCTCACACCATAAACCCTGACCCCTGCACCGATGCTCTGTAAGTCCACAACATATGTTGCCTTTTCTTCCTCAGCTCCCTGCTAGAACCCACCCAACTAGGCACTCACTCACTCGACCCACGCCCAATCATGTTCAACTTATTTGGAGGCCTTGGGAGTGTCGGCGCCCCGCAGGGCCCGTCCAGGGGCGTCAATGCCGAGAGCACCTGAAGGATCCAATATAATATAATATACAATATAATATAATATAAAATAATATAACATAATATAATATAATATACTATAATATAATATAATATACTATAATATAATATATAATAATATGATATGATATGATATGATATGATATGATATGATATGATATAACATAATATACTATAATATAGTATAATATAATATGGTATGATATGATATGATATGATATGGTATAATATAGTATAATATAATATAATATAATATAATATAATATAATATAATATAATATAATATAATATAATAAAATACAATAAAATACAATAAAATAAAATAAAATATTATAATATAATATAATATAATATAACATATTACATAATAATATATATATATATATATGTTATATATATATATGTTATATATATATATATATATATATATATATATATATATTACAGATTGCGTTTGCGGTTTTCCGTTGAGGGAGTTTGGTGTTCACAGTTCACGGCTTCAGGTTTACGGGGGGTGGACGGGGTGAAGCTTGCCTTCGGGCTTCGGTGCTCACACTTCGACAGCACCGTCAACTGCAGAAACCCCATTTCGCGTGAATTATTGAGTTTCAGGAGCTTTAAGTGGGCTGCTCTAGAACCTGGGGAAGGGTACTCATTGAGCTTGCAACTGCTGTACCAACCTTTGCAACTATAAAACTTGAGGGCACGTCTTTGGGTCCCCAAGACCTGCACCACGCGTTGCATCTCATCGAGAAGCATCTGGTCTGCGGGCTCCCAACCGTCGTGTCCCAAGCTCCTGAGCTTTGAGGTTCAGGGTGTTTGCTTCAGCAACATGTTGCAGGTGTCCAAGCGCTGCGGGATATGGCGGGGAGTTTCGCAAGTCTTGGAACCGCACGCGAGTACTGCCTATTTTGCTACACTGCTTCCCACGTGCCCTACGTTCAATGTTGGTTATGAGCGCCGGCTATCGATGTCAATGCCCTTGCATTCTGATCTGGACTCGTGGTATCTGTCACAGGACTAAAATGATCAGGCATGTTCGTTAGAGCACGCTGCGCCCTACGAGGAGTATGAAGTTGGTCGGTGGCCTCATCGTCCACATCGCACCGCATGATCACACTCACTGTCTGCAAAGATTCGCGGCAGTAAAGAACCGTCGATCACTGGCCAGGCAACCGCCAAGCCCCTTCCTACCCGCAAATCCTAAGAACCCGAACTTAGCCCCTGTTGTGCCCAAGTGCTCCAGTCGAGCCGCCACGCGGTGGCCAGAACTAAAGCCTAAACCTAAGACCCTGGTTGATGCCTTGCAATCGGGAGTAGGACACGCACCTTTATGGATTGAGATTCCTAAGGGTTGGGAGAATTATGTTGGTATACCGTGAGGCTTGCAAGGATTGTGGGATGGCCCTCTCGGGCCACACAGCCCTTCGACAGCTGAAGCCGCAGGCTTCTGTGTTGTCGTCCGTCGTCGTTCAACCCAAACCCTACAGTGACCAAAACCCTCGGGACCACAGCTTTCGGATCCTTTTCGCACACTTGAGCCAATGTTGGTTGAAGTCGCCCAAACTGGAGGTTCGAAACATGCATGCGCAAACAAAGGTGCTACTTCAAGCACCAGCAGAACATGGACATGTTATGTTCATGTTCCTACAGGTTCAACTGCCAACGAACTAGGCAGAAAAGGATGTTTGCGACTTTAATTGCAGCTATACTCTAGACGATTACCTCGACCATCATGAGCGATAGCTGGGAACATCACGGAGTATCTGGCCTACTATCAACACTCCTCCTTCTCGGCATGTGCGGGTTCGCACGTGCTGAGACTCCACTAGGGCCAGATCTCCCAAACTAGAAAAGCATTAACGGCGCATAAAGGATAAAGCAACAGCGTACTCCCCAGGCCCGTTGGGGTTTGGTGGACCAGCCTATGGCCTCTTGACTTTCTTTTTTCGGGCATCTTGACTCTGTTCTTGTCCCCGGTGGGAATCACCTGCGCCTTCTAAATCCCCATACACAGGCTCTGGACTATTCCTTCGGAGCCCATGTTGCAAAAGAACATGCCACTCCTGAGAGTGGACCTCGCGCGAAAAGAAGATGAGCAGAACGGTTATCATCGACCTACTCATCACGTAATCCGCAGCTGCGTGCGTGCTGTAGCCAATTTCGCTTTCCCCAGGACCTTAGTCAGTCCATCGGCTTCGAGCTCATTCGTCCCACGATGTTGGACCTCAATGTTGTGCAACCACACCAAGTCTCTGATATATGCACAACGGATCGCGAAATGCCTGGTTCGCATAGTCTGTTCATGAAACCGCTCCCGAGTGATCAAATGAATAGCTCCCGCATTGTCGCCATTGGCCACAAGGTGAATCTTGCATGCAAACAGCTCCTCAAGCACTGCGTGTATCTTGATACCCTCTTGGATCGCCACTGCGGTCGCCTCGATCTCGGACTCAGTCGCTGACCATGCCACAATAGACTGCCGCTGTGACTTCCAATAGACAAGATGGTCACCTAGGAACAGGGCTACCCCGCTTCTGGATCGCGCGCCACCCGGCGCCAAGGATGCATCTGAGACAATGCGAAAAGTCCACTCCGCATCTGCTGTATCATCACCGCCCCCAGGATTCACAGGACCACCACCGTAGCGATAGTGCAAAGTCTTCTCCCATGTACTTCTCAGGTATCGCCAAATCCCCTTGCACAAACGAAGACTATCGGAAGGCCTCGATGTGATCAGAGTTGAAGCAACGCCTAAACAAGCAGCAATGTCCGGTCGAGACCGGAGTGCAATCCACATTAAGGTACCAGCCTCTTTCTGAGCCAGTCTCATGTTGCTGTTGAATGCATTGTCACGAAGTTCAGACCCCTGAAGACCCTCCGAAGGCACCGGCAAAGATTCTGCGCCCTTGAGTGCGAGCCACCCTCGAGCACGAAGTTCTTGAGCTATGTATTTCGCTTGTCCAATACGCAATCCATCGCTCGCCACAGAGATCTCTGCACCAAGGAATCGCATGCACCGAACAAGTTTCAAGGTTAGGGTTTCACTCACAACCAGGTCCTTGTTCAGGCCTACACCCGGTTTCTCAAGAATGCCCTGCCCCTTGATAGCCCACAAACTCTGGATGAAGGCCGTAACCCGTCTAATCACTTCAATGCCGCCCACAATGAGTCCATCGTCAACGTACGCACAGCATGCCCCTCTGGTCACGCCCGCGCCGTCAACGATCTTCCACAAACCTGCTGCCAGATTCAACGGGACCAAATGCAGTGCTCCCAGTTTGTCCTCATCACCAGGAGGCAGTTCCGCATGATTGAGCTTGTGGTCACGTTCTCGCTCCCATTCTGTCGGTCCACGTCGTAGTCCGTAGATGTTGCGTTCCGCCACCCACACAGTGTTTTCTGCAATGATTCCTAGGTCTCTCATTATCTTCGGCGGAGTAATTACCACAGGGTCCCCGGAAATCTCCGCGTTGAGAAAGGCCGCCTCGACGTCGAGACCGCCCAATGTCCAATCCTGAACCTTCGCAGCTAGGGATACAAAGCATCGTACAATTTCAGGTGGTATGTTTGATGACGACCACGGCTCCCCGTTGTTATCGGTGCCCTCCTCGAAGTTCCCACATGCACAGATTCGGCTCTTTTCCATGAATCCGTCTGCATTCGCCCTCTCATCCTCTGAAGGTTTCATGGTGGGCACAACTTTTGAAGGGATCTCCCTGGGCAGCTTGGCCTCAGGGGAGATGTTCAAGTACTCGCGCAATCCCGATCTGGGGACCTCACGGAGGACACCGTCCATCTTTGCATACTCGGCAATCAATGACTCTCGCCACTGCTGTTGACGATCACCCTGAAAGAAACCCTTTAGATCCACGGTCTCCGCCTGAACGGGTGCCACACTTGCCTCAAGTAGACTCGCTTCAACCTGATTTGCAAGCTGCTCCTCTTCATACGAAAGCAGATGGTATTTCTGCCAATTCACAATCTTATCCCCATGCTCCGGCGCTGGCTGCGCCGCCTGTGAAGATGATGCTGCTGCCACTGCTGCCAACGGGTATCCCTCTAATGGACTTTGGCCTTTGAGCACCTCCTCAACAGTCAAGAGACCCAAATCTATTCCCAGATCCCGAATGGTATCTGCGTCCCGAACCTGACCATCACTCGAAATCCAAAGAAGATCCCCAGACAGGGACTCGTAGGTCCTCCAGCGCCGCTCTGGCTCCTTGATCACCGCAGGTAACCTAGTCACCACAACTGCATTCCGGCCGTTTCTCCTGACCTCAACATAGGCACCGTTGGTAAACTTGTCCGCACGACCAATGAAGATTGCAGCTTCCGAGCGCACGTCCAAAGGACCCGGGTTGTTGATCTTGATCGCGACGCTGTCGCCTGGGTAAGGGGCTTGACCCTGCCAGGATCGCCCCAATGTCAAGTCTCGTTGTTGTCTCGCAGCCTCCTGAAAGAGAATGGGCCAATACCGTGAGGGCACTTCACCCTTAATCAAGAATTCGCGGACTCGCTGCTTCAGCAATCCAATATTTCGTTCAGCCACGCCATTCGCGGCCGGATCATGCCCAACAGTACTTGTCTGATGAATCCCTGCCTTCTGGAACTCTTCGACTACACGACGAGCTAAGAATTCTTTCGCACGATCAGAATGGATCCTAACTGGCGCCTTGCCGCCCGCTACCGCCGACAGCTCATTCAGAATGGCCTGCACACCGCATAGCACATCCGACCAGAACCTGCGGCGCAACGGCTGAACAAACTGAAGGGTTGCGCCATCCTCCAGACGAAATACGCCTGCCAAGATGTATTTGGAGTCATCGTATGCCCCCTTGTACGGACCAGCAATGTCTATGGACAAAACCCCCTTTGCAATGTCTGAAGGCTGAACACGCCGATGCGGTTTCTTGGTTCCTCGGGCCTTGAAATCATCCAAAGTATGTCCAGGCTTCTCCTTGGCAGGTTCCTTCTTAACATCAGGTGCCACTTCAGGCGACACCGATTCCGAAGGTTTCAGCGTCCCAGAATTGTCACCCGAAAGATCGCCACTGAATATGTGCTCTGGATCAGGCAATGAAGGTTCATATTCATCCCAATTTTCTTCGAAAGGCATGGCAGCATCAAGCGCGGTCGGACCATCAGGACAAGCTAGACCCTGAATATCATCCCCGAACAAACCCTCATCCAGGTCCCCTTCAAGCATATGCTCCCCGAACGAACCACTCTCTGTCGTCGCGTCCGTCGTCCGGGCCTCAGAGTCCTCAGCAAGTGGGTTTAAGGAAGGCTTAGGGCTTAGGGGTGGTTCATCACGCGATGCGGCAGCGGCCGCTGCGGCATATGCTGGAAACTGCAACTCACGCAATCGCCTCTGCTCTTCAGCTGAAAGCAGATGCCCATTCCGAATGACATAGAGCGACAACGCAGTGCGGTTTCCCTGCCAAGGTGTTGTGCCATGCCACTTGGTGGGATTGAACTGCACAGGATTTCTAAGCACAGGCATAACGACACCGCGAAGCTTCAAGTTCTGCTTGACCTGTCGCATCTGATCACCATCCTTGTGCTCAATCCAAAGGTTGCCACCGTTGCATTGCCCCTTATGGTTAAGGACTACAAGCACATTCTGGGAATTCGGATCGTTATGGGTATCCTTATGGGGAGTGAAGGTAACATCCTTGGACACCGTGAACGACGTCCAGGTAGCACCTGGCATCTCCTGCTTCATGAAACGATTGATCAAGGCAACCAGATTCGGAAACTGATCAGTGCGAGTTGTGACACCGCACTGAGGACCATGACCGTATGCACCAAACACCCACGATTTTATCCCCTCAGATCCCACATCACCTTCTGCGCATGCTCTCGCCTTTCTCTGAGGTTTCAAATCGGCCTTCGAGACCGCCTCAAGAATGTGATCATAGGTGAGGTGGTCCAGCTTCAAGAAATTCTCCGCTACCTTTTCCCCAATGCTGGGTTCTACACCCTTAGATGCACACTCCTTGGCCTCGGTCTCACACTCATCTAGATCCTCAGGTGTCATAAACGGGTTTGCGGCGACTCCTGCGCCACTAGTGATCGCACAGCAACTCCTCTTGTTGTTTCGGAAAGCCGCTGAAAGTTGTTTGCGAAGATGAACAAAGTCAGACCAGTAGATGTAGGGCAACCCGTTTTCAACAAACATATGAATCGTCTCGCAACCGGCTTCAGTCTCCTTAACAAGCCTAGCACCCGACTCAAGATCCCAGATAAACCTATATCCCAGCTCTACAATCTTTCCCACAGGTGCAATCCATGAACTCTCATCCCCCGGCATAGCGAGCTCCCCATCACGGGTCCGCCAAGCAAAGGTAGTATTACCATCGGCTAATGTGAGATGGACCTTGGTAGATCTCGTGGGTGGCTGTGATCCCGCCGGTCTGATCAACTCATTTGCCCCTGTGTCTGCTAAAACACATCTGTCCTCGTCACAGATTCCTGTGCTGCTTGCCTGGGCTGCATGTGCAGATGTTGAGCTGGGGCTGTCCTCGAGTTCCGGTGCCGCAAGTTGCGGCGGTGGACTTACGGTTGGAGCCTTAGCCGGTGGGGCACCTGGCGCCAAGAATGCAGACGTTGACGAGCTGGCCGCAGGTGCTTTTGCGGGCGCGGCCTTGCTGGGTACATATGGTAATTCTGGTGCCTTAGGGTCTGGAACTGCGGGCCAACGACGAACACGAGGTCTGTATTGAAACTGTGCCAATGCAAACTGTCGTTCTCTCCCTGTACTCTCCTCCTGAATCCAAACCACAAAGCACGGCCTACCAACCCCATCTTCGCAGAAGACAACAGTGGTGTCACACTTGATCATGCACACGCCCTCTGCGATCGGAATTGTTCCAGACTCATCTACATCCAGCATCTCATGTATGATCACATCCCAAACTGCCCACACGATTGAATTAGGATTCTCCTCCTCACGAAAATCCCGATCTGCGCAAACCTGAATCTGCGCCGGTCTCGTCCAATGTATGTAGTCACGAAGGCTTAGGTCAAGGACCCACATAGGTCCACCAGCATCCGGAATTGATTCCGCTGACTCCTCCTCGCCTGAGCTTGTCACGGATGGCTCAGAAGGATCCTCGCTGTCACTAGGTGGAGATGGCTCAGGGCCCGGTTCCTCGAGTCCACTGAGAAGCTTCATCGCTTGCGACTGATGAACAATGCACGCTGATGCCTTGGCCGTCGCTCCTACTAAAGATTCAGATGCACCCGAAGCAGAAGTCTTGACATCCTGAGGCTTTGAAGCGGCTTGCTTAGCTTCCCCATCATGTGAGTACTTACACTTATCACCGAACCTACACTTACCATTCTTCTTCCAAGCAAGGCATTCCTGCTGCTGTGAGGTTGCGGCTGGAGCTGCTTTAGGCTTCGGAGTAGGACTAGCCTTAGGCGGTGGAGCGCCTCCGGGAGCAGGTGGATTCGCATGTGTGAATCGGCACCGGTCGCCAAATCTACATTTCCCCGTATTCTTCCAAGCCATGCACTCTTGCTTGCCCCCTTTGGGAGCCGAATCCTTTCCCGTGCCCTTGCCTCCTTTTCCCTTGCCGTCCTTGCCCTTGCCTTTCTTGGCCGTAGGGTCCAGATCATCGTCTTGACCGCGACCGCGGCCCACTTTCACTTGCTCATCCGCATGCAACAACTGGAACTGCTGATCTAGAAGATTGATCATCATATCAACTCCCTCCGATGTAGGTCTAATGAGTTCTGGTCGGGTTCGCAGCAAACTAAGCATGGTACGCAATCTATCATGGCGCTTCTCCAGATTCAAAGCCAAAGTACCCAGCGCTCCGAGCTCCTCGAAGGGAGCCACCTGTGGAAGTGCCAAAGCCATAGCCCTGGATCTAGCCAATCGCCAACGTCGGAGCACACTCAGCCCCTCTTTAGCCGAGTTCACAGGTTTCAGGTTCCTAACGAAGGCTTGTAAAGATTGCATTTCCGCTGCGCCCCCCGGTTGCAATGTTTCCAACACCCCTTCCAGAAGTGCAATTGCCCGCATGGGCTCGGATTCATCGCCCCTTTCAAGGACGTTCTGCTTGAGCTCAGCAGGGACGCACCGTATCAACAGCAACACCAGCCTGTTTTCGTTCTCCGAGTCCTCCGGTAGAACCCGCGGTGGCGGTGACAACTGATGCAAACCTGCTAAACGCTGCTTATGCCGATCATCTGCCCACTTGAACTGCTGTCTGACGTAGGACCCGAATGAATCAGCTATTGTCCCTGCGATCGTTTCAACCTGCTTAAACCAAGTCCGAAGCTTCATGCCCTGTTCCCAAGGCTCTCCAGCTCCCAGCTTCAAAGCAGGTACATCTTGCAACAGCTTCCACCGTCCATGATGGATGCCGACGTTGCTTCCACTGGTCTCCGGCACCGGTGTGGCTTGCGCCGGCTGTGGTACATGCTGCGTTTGAGCGCCTATGTGGCACCCCGGATCATCACCTCCTAGTAAAGGAGACGATGAGGGTTGCGCCTGCGGAGGTGCAGACGTCGGCTGATCTGGGAAACCCGGCGGTGGGCCGACATGACCTTGAGGCATTTCGCCGGCGTGCTCATGGCCATCCCACCATTCTGCTTCGCAATCTGCCATACCAGGTTCGCCAACAACAGGCTCATCATCAGTGTATACAGCAAAATGCTCGCACATCTGATGCAAACCCTTGATCTCTTCTCGGATCGTGGCACTATGACCCTCCAATTGAGACACTGACGACTCCACTAACGACACTGAGGCATGCAGATCTGCAACGTCCCGGGAAATCGCATCAAGACGCTGCCCCTGACCCGACATAGTAGCACACAGTCCATCGACCTGGGTGCGTACCTCAGCCAATCCACTGACGGAAGACTCAGCTGGAGTACTATGATCCTGCTGGAAGTTATGCCACTTGCGCTCTCGCACCTGATTCGCCTTTTCAAGCTCATCAACACGAGACCGCAAAACCTCATTCTCTGAGCTGGCCTTCCGGAATCCAGCCTCGAGATTGTTTTGGATTGTCACTATGTGAGCCTCAACCTGGGCTTGCCATTGTTGCGGGCCCATCGCTGCAGCTTCAGCTCTCGCCTGGACCGCGCTCAGCTGCTCGCGAGTAATTGCGAACTGCTGCCGCACATCTGCGCTGAGCTGTTCACGTGTGGACTCTATCTCTTGCTTCAGAGACAGGTTTTCATTCATAAGACAGGCCAAAGTACGACTGTGGGCATCCATTCCCTGTTGAAGCCTGTCCAGGTTGTCCACTAAGGCATTGTATCCCGAGTGGAGTGTTACGCATGCATCCCCCAGAACGTTGGATCTATACTGCATGCGATCGTTCAGTTCAACGACGGCTGCTCTCAAGTCGTGGAGCATAGAAGCATCCAGCGAAGCTGCCTGTGCAAACTGCTGAAGGATCGACGTCGGGATCTCCAGCCGAGTTGCTTGCATGAACTGAATGCCTCCGAACGGTGATGACGGCCCTGCTGCCGTGGGAAACGGAGGCACGCTTGGTTGGGCGGAGCCGCTTGGGCTCATAACCTGTTGGTTATGAGCGCCGGCTATCGATGTCAATGCCCTTGCATTCTGATCTGGACTCGTGGTATCTGTCACAGGACTAAAATGATCAGGCATGTTCGTTAGAGCACGCTGCGCCCTACGAGGAGTATGAAGTTGGTCGGTGGCCTCATCGTCCACATCGCACCGCATGATCACACTCACTGTCTGCAAAGATTCGCGGCAGTAAAGAACCGTCGATCACTGGCCAGGCAACCGCCAAGCCCCTTCCTACCCGCAAATCCTAAGAACCCGAACTTAGCCCCTGTTGTGCCCAAGTGCTCCAGTCGAGCCGCCACGCGGTGGCCAGAACTAAAGCCTAAACCTAAGACCCTGGTTGATGCCTTGCAATCGGGAGTAGGACACGCACCTTTATGGATTGAGATTCCTAAGGGTTGGGAGAATTATGTTGGTATACCGTGAGGCTTGCAAGGATTGTGGGATGGCCCTCTCGGGCCACACAGCCCTTCGACAGCTGAAGCCGCAGGCTTCTGTGTTGTCGTCCGTCGTCGTTCAACCCAAACCCTACAGTGACCAAAACCCTCGGGACCACAGCTTTCGGATCCTTTTCGCACACTTGAGCCAATGTTGGTTGAAGTCGCCCAAACTGGAGGTTCGAAACATGCATGCGCAAACAAAGGTGCTACTTCAAGCACCAGCAGAACATGGACATGTTATGTTCATGTTCCTACAGGTTCAACTGCCAACGAACTAGGCAGAAAAGGATGTTTGCGACTTTAATTGCAGCTATACTCTAGACGATTACCTCGACCATCATGAGCGATAGCTGGGAACATCACGGAGTATCTGGCCTACTATCAACATTCAACATGCAAAGGGTATTCGGTGTTCACGACAATTGCCAACAAAAACATATCTATAGAAGCCTGTCCCAAATGATTCCAAGGGCAGGGAGAGCGTGCGTAGCTCCGAGGACACCTGCCGCGAATCGCACAGGATGCTCCAGGCAGCCAGGCGATGCGTGCAAGCGACTGGAAAGGCATTGCCACCTGGTTCCATTATTATTGGGTTGAGGGAGGCATTTCAAGCATCTGAAGACGGGTTGCACGCTTGAGGGCGCACATCGAGCCTTGAGCTGCAACCTCGAAACCTCCCGAATGCCTACATGTGAGTTTGGGAACCTCTGGTCAGAAAGCCACAGGCACCTGCGTAGAGGACCACTCGCATTAGCCAGCCCGGAACTTGGGAGATGCACAAGGTGGAAGGTGCTGTCTGAGATGGCCTTGGCCTGCTTGTCTTGCGATTGCCCCGCTTGTTCGGGGGTTGGGAAAAGTCCAGCACCGGACCGACGGAGTTTGCTCTCTTTGCTCTGCGCTTCTTGGCTCTCAGCTCTTGCTTCGCGTGCCCCTCCTTCATGACGGGCTCCTGTTTCATCGCGCACGCCCCGCGCTTTGACGCCGTCTTGCGCTTCTCGGTGTTCTGCCCTCTGATGCTGCGGCTCTGGCGGACGATCCTTCGCAGCTTCTTCGCCCACTGGAGCCACTTGGACCTGACGGTGCAGGCGTGTTATGGGTTCCAGCAGCTACAGTATTGAATCCATGTCGTACCCCAAACCTGTAACTGTAAAGTTTCCCGAACACCTGAACTTTATACCCTCAGTGCGCCATGAAGCCCCGAGGCTTGCAATAGTCCCCGACCCACCACAACACCCAAATCCACAAGCACCCTGCAAGATCCGCAAATGCAAAAACACTGTGTTATTTGAGGCACAGGGACAAACAGCGCGCAAAACCGTGGCCGAGCCGGCGTGGAGAGAGAGACGTTCGCCCGGTGCCGGTGACGGATCCATCTTCCTGCACAAGGCTTTGACAAGCTTACACAGCAGGCTGGGCCGCTAGGTTCTGTAAATGACCTAGAATTGGTCGACTCAGCGATACTTCTCAGTACATTGCTGACGAAGGAAACGATCATGCGGCCTAGACCACGCCATATAACTATCTCGAGTAGTAACGCAGAATATTTCAATGACGAGTCATTGCCTCAGCGACTAGCGTTTCAGTGCAAGTCTTGAGATGCAGCTTCCGTGCGGGTGATAGGAGAATATCTTCACAACATGTCGAGACTCCAAGCAAAAGCAAACAATGCTTCAAGAACATCCGAGAAGCAACTTTGATTACACCTTCTCGCCAGCGGGGGCGGCCGTTTGATGGCGGCGGATCCATGAACACAGCCGTTGTCGGAGGTTGCGGGCTGGAGTGCTTAGGAGATACTGCAGGCGAGCGAAGCCGCGTGGTTGATGCGGGCAGGGCTTGCGAGGTCGACCGCTTGCGCAATGCAGAGGGCCGTGAGCTCGAGCGCTTGGGCGCTGAAGGCTGGGAGCAAGGCCTCACAGGCGGTACCGGATGCAGTCCGTGGGAGCCTGGCCGCGAGCGTGTTGCCTGCAAGGTCGGGTGCTCCGGAGACGCTGATTGCGAGCGAGGCCGCGCCTGCGATTCCTGCGATGCTTGAGGCTGTGATGGCTGTGAGCTTTGTGACGGGTGCGGCCAGCAGGGCATTGCAGGCGATGCCGGCGGCTGTGACGACGGGCGTGCAGGTGATGCCGATTGCTGCTTGGCCTCTTCTTCCTCGTCGCTGCTAATCACCTGGGCTGTCGCTTAACCTTGTCCTCCCTGGAAAAATCACCTACCAGTTCCTCCCAGAGATCCAACTCAGCAAAAGGACCCAGCCATCATATGATATTGCACATGTACTTGCAAAACACATTTGTCATGTCTCTGCTTTTGAACATTTAGACACATAAACTGCACATGTACACATACACATGCTTGCATGCTTGCCGAATGCGTCGTGCTATCCTGCCTGGATCTCGATCTTGGATGGAGAGGCTGCCTTGCGGTTCTCCAGGCGATTGCGCAGCCTCCCCTGCAGATCCAGCTCTGAATGCTTAGGCAGCTTCGGCAGGTTCACCTTGGTCTCTCGCTTGGCCAATCAGGGAAAAGGCGAAGATGAAAGAGCTCACGTGAAACTGCTCAATTTTTTCCCTCCTGCATGGCTGAGTACACGTAAGCAGGGTGATAGGTCCACACTGTGGTGAATTACTCGACTCTGCATTTCAAGTCAAGTTCCACATGCAACATTCTGCAAGTAAATTTTGTTCACAGTGCATACACGCAGCGTAAATTCCCAATTACCGGCTGAATCGGATGCAAGTCAGCAAAATGCCAATGCTTGCAACTTGTAATTCTAAGCTGACTTTTGACTGTAGCTCTGAGTTATGTCAGACTCTCATGCATCAAGCATGGCTGCCACTCGGACTGGCACATGTAGGGAGATACAGCACAGCTCACACAAGCAATGCTGTATTTCGCTACACCATAGCCTCATTTCCAGTGTCAGACAGCATTTGCGAATCACACACATGTGCGAGCATGCACACTCCTTTTTCCAGCTTCTCAGGTCCATCACGCCACACAGTATAGCTCAAGTGATGCTGCAGCAGGTAAGTCAGGACCCGGTTGGCGAAATGTGGCCACACCATTGTAACATTACCAGGCGAAAGCTACTAAATTTGGGTTTCGTAATCTTCAACTGCAAGAAATATGCTGCGTCAGAGTCGCATTTGTTGTTGTTGATGTGGCAGTGTGGCAAATGCCGAGCTTTTGGTGCGTCTTTGTAGTTTGTATGTGTGTCCTAGTGTCCGTGGCTTTGGTAAACCGTTGTCGCCGCCTCCCATTTGTGTCACTGAACGCTGCGAACGCGTGGTGACTGCCGATGCTGATGGCACTCAGGGAATGCAAACTGGCAGTGGATCTAGAATCTAGAAGTAAGGGCAAACAAGTTGTACCCACCCACCCTCACACCGGATGGGCAGACGCAAAAACTTGATACACACGCAAGCATCAACCTAACACCAGATGACAAGATGCACAGGAAAGTTGCGAAAGCACATTCAATATCCGATGAGGAGGAAGCTTTGCAGATAGTCCAACCCTCGCTCCGTCGAAAGGTACATCACGCATGCCCGTCTGCCGAAACAGCTGTAGCTAGGCGCGCGCAGATTCGGCATATGCCACAAAGCCAGGAGTTTCCAAGGAAGCCACATCCAGGAAACACGCAGATACATCAAGAGATCCATATGTTGCGTTGCGTCGAACAACTTGGGTTTGCTCGAGTTTTGGGAGAAGCCTCATGTACCCGAAACCGCTGTATAAGCTGCTTTGAATACACCCCGAAACAGCAAACCCACAAATAACCACCTTGTGCTTGCCGGCCGGCAGCTGCAGGCTTCTTGCGGGGTGCTTCCTCCACCGGCTTACGGTACACCTCGCTCAGGCGTCGGGTTTCGACTCGTGCAAAGGGAATCAGGGTCCATTGGGCTCAGTGGTTCCAAGTTTTGAGAGCTCAAGGGTCGGGATCAACTTATCGTATGGCGCTGCCTTGTTGCAGTTTGGATGTTTGCCCTGGTTGAATAAATGGGTGGCTCTGTAAGAGGCCCTGTCATGCTTTGGGTCCGAATCTTGGGGCTAACAGTCGTGCAGGCTGGCGCTGTCTGAGCAATTGAACCCGAACTCGGCTGCAGGTTCGAGGGCTTAGGGATGTGCTGTACCCTGGTCTTTGGCCTCATCGGTTCGACATATAGGCGGTGCGACTTTAGATTGTTGGCCACAAGCTGGCACATATGTGTGGCTCACTACAAGTACCTTCTGCGCTTGTGGGTCGAAGGTGTCCGAGGTCGGCAGTCTTGATGCACAGTTTCGGCCTATGGTAGATTCAGGTAGTCTCTGCTTACCCTGTAGGTCAATTTACCAACAACCCTGCGAAATCACAAAAACACCGGAAGCGCGACATCGCTCGGCCACGAAGCCCTGGTAGCAGCTATAGTCATCGAGCCTATACACACGAAGCTGAACCAAAGGTCTGGACTCTGCCACAACACCAACAGCCTGCGCACACTTGATCGTGGGTTTGGGTCACAGCGGCAGATGCCAAACCCTGAACCTAAACCTGACTAGAAGAGTTTCACACTTGCGCAGCACAAAGAACAGCAACGAGCATGATAAACAAACACAGCCACCGATTGCGGTGCTACTAGAGTACACTCTCGGTTTTGAGCACCACGACTATGACGACGACGGCAAACAGGACGACCGCGACCACCCGGAGACCGAGAACGGCAAACATGCTCCCCACCCGCGTATGGCGGATTCAGCCGGACGACTGCGCGAGTGCTTCGCATAATACAGTGGCCGAATTCAGGAGGACAGTCAAATGCTTCCCCCAAACACTGGCGGGAGTCAGAGATTTCGCGGCCCAGAGGTGGCGAGTGCATTAAAGTCATGACAGAGCGCGGATCCTGCGCAAATAATGATAGGACGTAAGTACTGAGTTTTGAGCGTCTCGGGCAACCTCCCGTCATCTCCTGTTCCGCGCGTGCGCGCGCCTCGCAGGAGCGTTGTCACTTGACGTGCAAGCCGATAGTGAGAGTGTTTGCCACACTTTTTCTTTAGGGACTTAAAAAGAAAACTGAAAGGATTCTACCTCAACCTTCTGAGCTTGCCTACAGTAAGTCCCTGGCCAAGATCTTGGCACGTGGGGGCACGCGAGTGGCCTCGTTTAAGTTGGACGTCGTGGCAGGAGTCATGGTCTATTGAACTTGGAGGATCTGTTTTGGGACGTGTTGGATGTTAGCCTTGGGCCTCGTGGTTCCATTGTGATTACGGTGCAATTCCTTTCCAGCAAATTCGAGCTGTCTCGCCCCAGAATCCCCTGTATGAAGCATCCAAATGCCGCAGGAGCACGCTCACTGACCTTTTGGGATTGCCAGGAATAGGATCAAGGCCCATGATTTCGGGTTCAGGATCTGTGGCCACGGTTAGAACGAGCTGCTTCGGACTTTTCTGTCAGACTGCGCTGTGTACATCTCTAAAATAGGGTCTAGGGTTTAGGGCTTAAGGTGAACGTGGGTGAACAATCGGCAACAGACCTCTCAGAACCAGCTCAGCAGCCTGAACAGCTTCAACCGGAGCCCTCTTACAAGTAGACGCGACATACAAGGACATCCCAAGAAATTGCGACAACACTGCATGCATCCACCGGTCGTAGTGGTATATACCCTTGCAAGCCCTGCAGCACGCAACAAACTGTGAAATCCCCAGGCAGCACATCGTCGCACACCTGGAGACCCGCCATGGACAGCCGTGCTCGAGCCAGGCGAAGCCTTACAACGACGCAGAGCACCAGTCCGCCTCCAAGCTCGCCTCAGGGGCCTTCGGGCCTTCCTACTTGGAGCTCCGCGATCCACTGCACTCTCCGAGGATTGCTTCTCCGACGTGGGCTCTTGGAACGCAGAAGGGGCTGCAGCTTGAATTTAGGACAGACGCCTTCAGACAGACAGGCAGACAGCCAGGCAGGCAGGGCAGGCAGACAGACCTACAGATAGATAGGTGTACAAATATGTACATATACACAATATACATTTATAGATATGCATAGATATATAAAACTGTTTGATACACACACACACATATATATATATATATATATATATATATTCATACCTGTGTATACACAGTTACAACCAGCAAAAGCATTGCCGATCTTTAAGTCCTGAGAACTGCGCAATGATGCCACCATAAACAATAGCTATCTCTAGAGCATGCCCAACCGTCCCGACCCTAGTCTAAACCTTGGTGCGACAGCTTCGCCGGCCAGGCGGCACGTTGGAAGCCACTTCACTACCAACGCTGAATCCTTGTCTTGCAGGACTGCATCAAGCATGCTCTGGATGTGAAAAGTACTTGATATGAGCCTGGCCAGCAATCCGTAGGCACTACTGTACCATACATCCTGACGTTTCTTTGGAGTTTACAATCCGAAACTCTTGTGTTCATTGCCGGTCAGATGATGTTTTTTTTGACACTCACACTCGGACAAGCCTGGCAAGGTCTGCAGAAGTAGGTACGTCAGATGATTAGGGCTCGGGATCTTCCACGGTACATGCATAGCGGCAAAATGCGCTAAATAAACTTCAACAGGCCATGCTGAATCACTTGGAGGGCAGAAGATTTGAGATGTTTCCCGAAGCCTTGCATTTTGCTAAAACTGTTAGCCCCGATCTGGTGTTCATGGACAGGGGGATGCAGAAACCATAAAAGCACGGGAACCGACCTCCTGTGATTCGCACGCAAAGCCTCTAACACCAGCAGTTTGAAAGGCATGGAGACTGATTCCGAGACAGAAAGTTCCAACCTCTCACACCCCAAGATCTTCGTCATTTGAATCAACAGGAACGTCGAGCATCGTTCTCTGACGGCCTTCGTGGCGAGCCTTGCGTATGCCCTTGTCTCCTGAGTTCACGGCAGGTTCCGTGATCAGCTGCCTTAATTGCATGTTGTGTCTACCGGGCACTGCAAGACCGACATTTTGAAGAGGGTCTGTTTTCTGCACTCAAGGGGCTTCAGACACGAAATGTGCAATCGTGCAATCTGAAAACACTTTCACGTACCCACCCTTGACCGAGACATTAATGTCCTGTACCGGGGGTTGCCTTCCCGAAAATCAAGCATTCCAGTGACCGTCCCTGCGTCCTCGCCGACATCAAGGTCGGAGCGTATCTCGTTCGCGAGCCGGATTGCTGCGCCAACTTCATCCTGAGTATACGGGGCCACGGCTTCGGACTGTGTCGTTCTTCTTCCCTCCTCGTTGGCAGGGTTTAAGGCGCATTCCTGGGGTGCTTCTTCAGCAATGTGGCCGATTTAGACGGTTTAGAGGAAAGGGCTCAAGGTTTGGCGCAGGTCTCATGGCATTGGTCTTTCATGGCATTCTAGACTAGACTCTATATAGCAGCGTGTCTAGCTAGTCCCGTGGTTCTGGGTGGATAGTACAAGAGTGTTCCGCAAGTGTCAAACGAGCCATAGTTTGAGACGAAAATGAGGGATCCTCTGTCCATAACTACAGCTGCATAAGCAAACATGGCTCGAAGAGTAAACCCTACGTACCGAAACCCTATTGACTTATTGTAAGGCTGAGTCTCTGGGATGATTGCTGATGCTACGAAATCCCTAACTGCCACAATTACCCTATTGTCTGAGACCGGGTTCGTCGACCCCACGTGGGCGGCCACCGGAGGACCTGGTGGTGCGAGGCTCCCGGCACTTCCTGGGCTACCCGCATCATTTCACAAGCAAACCATCGCGGCAGGCAACCACGTACATGTACATCATGTGCAGACAGACATGCATGGATGCACAAGTGACAAACAGGACAAAATCATGAAAAGAAAACTTGCGAACCCAACGCGCCGAGGTCGAATGCTGGAAGCGGCCCGGACTGTCTGCACTTGGGAACAGAGAGGATGACCCCACACCCAGGATCTTGCCCTGCCCAGAATCTTCTTTGCGGGCGGTTCTGGCGGCTCGTGTGCAGCTGGCATGGACGGGCCTCGGCTTCACGGGAAATTCTTGAAGGATCCCTTACGCGCGCAGCGCCCTGGCCTAGGCTGTGGCCTGGGAGTCTGGGCTCCTCGCCTGCCACCGCCACGCACTTCTTTCGGGTCTGCCACGTCCTGAGCTCTGAAAACGGGTTTAGGTCTGTTAGGGAGCATCCAAAAAAGGGTCGGGCTTTTTGGGGTTGCTTTTCCTGTCTTGCTTAATTAAGAAGACGTCTGCCAATCCATCCAGCAAGCTAGTGATCAGAACACCTCAGGAGGCAGGCAGTTTGCCAGGATTCCTCTCCGTGTTATGTTGACCACATTGTTACGACCCTGTCATCCAAGGCACCAATGGGATTAGGTTTAGTTTAGGGCGTGGGCGGCTTGGTTGTCAGGGCATCCATGTCTGGCAGTTTCTAGCATTGATTCCAGCAATTCGACAGAGTTCTTCGGTCCGGTTTCTTCCAAAATGTCGGCTAAGTTCAGAAAGCGGGCGGAATGCCCCGACCCCCCACATTTAAATTTACGGTGCCTTTGCATGTTTTGCAACAAAACCGCTCTTAAAACAAACGGCTAGCCTTGCCTTGCAAGCGAATCCAGGTCGAAACCGAGTAGGATTCAGGTCTCGGGTTCCGGGTCCCGTGAGAAACGAGAAATGCAATCTTAGGCTCACGCCATCTACTAGGTCTTGTTCCTTGAACGCATCTATGCATGCGTGGGCTACACCACACCGTTGCATAGTACGGAAAGGAGCCTTCCGTCGTGCGCGAGTGGTCATATTTCATATCTGCATGTTATGGATGAAAAGATAAGGTCAAATGAACTACATTCTCCTAATCAGGAAAACTTGTGGCTTGCAAAGGTCCTGTCAACCTAGAAAAGCCGGTTTCCTGCGAGTTTTCTCCTCCTTGTATTGAAGTCCACATGCAATCAATCCCCACATGAATATGCCGACAATTCCCTCAAGTCATAGTGCATGAGACATGAATTTCGTTGGTTCTCACAGTAACTTGGTCTGACGATCCCTACTTGATCCAAACACCTGACTATTAGCTGGAACTACCGTAACTGCTGCGGATACTGTCCCAACACATGAACGCCACATAAGTTCCACCCATGCTTGGTGTGCACAAGCATTGCCGTTAAAACGAAGACGCAGTCTTCATGTGATCCACGATCTTGCTTGCGAAGTGCTCCGAGGAATCCGCAAAACGCAGGCTCACAGTGTCCGGTTTTGAGAATCTGAACCGTGGCTCCACTGCGCTCTGATACGACAAGGCATTGTCGAATACTCTTTCGTCAGAAGTCTTTCGCTGTTTGCCGTGCCAGCAGTTGCAGCTGTTGACACGTTTGAGATGCGAAGTTGGTTCGCATGGTGAAAACTTGCGCGGGTCACCAGAAACGTGACACGAACAGGAGAATTTCACATCGCTGCGGCGATCTCCGATAACAACGACCGCCACGAACACCGCCCCAAACAGGCTCGATCCTTGCTGCATGTTCTTCTGAAGGGCTGGTGTGTTGTTTGTGCTGCTTTTGAATTTGGGGCGAGCCTTCATTCACGGTGTAACTGTTGTTTAGCATTTAGTGAATGGGCTTATGGGTCGATTTTGCCCTTCTTGCGAATGTGCATCGCCTTGTATGGCTCTTCGGGCTTGCAAGTCCTTATGTACCAAGCTGAAACCCAGAATTCAGAATTCATAAATGCTTCGAACAGACAAAGTCAGAATACTCTTTTGGGGTCTAGGACGCTCCGGGGTACGCCACTTGGGAGTACAGTGTTTTGCTGTGTACGGCCTTGAGTTTCTGAGCGAACACTTTTGAAGCTAAGCGCTGCTTCACAAACTCTGTCAGCCCCATGCAACAGGTTCTTCCACAAACCAAGTGCATTAACACACCTCTCTCCAACAAAGTTTTCAGACAGGCCCAAGGCTCAGGGTAACACCGGCCATGGAGAGACGCGCGCAAGAGGCCTGTTTAGGCTGCGGGTTTGGAACTTCAGGGTTGGACCTCAGCACTAACCCAATAAGCTACAAGTAGTCACTGGCCCCGGACACCAGAGGCGAAAAGTCGCAAGTCTCTGAAGGTTGCAAGACCTGCAACGCCACGTCCGCTGTCTGCGAGCCGATTCCATACCTGTCGGTGGGGTTTTGAATCGTACCAAAGCTGCACCCTGCAAGCTGGACATCAATCAGTTCAGGATTCGGAGTTGGTTTTCGGAAGTCGTGCTCGTGGTTCATGTGGGAGTTCGGGGCACTGGATTCGAACCATAATCAACCTGCAGTCATTCTCTGAATTTTCAGCCTTTGCATACGCAGCCGCAGGGCCTGACTGTGGATTCCATGGTCTATGCGGTAGGTTAGTAGGTTAAACGCTATCAAGGCTCGACCCACGGACAAGATCGGACAAGTACCCAAGGTTTTCCATGCAAGTTTTGGGCCTGAGTGAACTGCTGCATGCTACAGACTTCCGAACTCACGCTCAAGTCATAATGGCACATGAAGCAACGTCTTAAGGACAGGTATTAACTCGTCGGTGAACTGAGATGAAGCAGCAAGTCAACATGATCTGTGGCTACTGGTGATGTTGTTCATCATCAGCATCGTCATCTGTTCGCCAGGCCGGTGGTGGTGACCTAGTCACGACTGTCAAAGCCGAGGTTCAGCTTGCGAAGATTCTGCACGCTCTTGCCACGCATGGGTGGCAGTTCCACCGACTCTGCGCTCTGAGTGAGTTCCACCTCGTGGCAAATATCGCAGAGCAGGATGCGCAATGCGACTGCGAGTGTGCAGGACACGCATACACTGTTTCACTACTGCCTGGATTCGGCGCGCCACATCTGCCGCAACCGCCAGAGCGCGTTCCCGGGCTCTGGGGCCAAGTTCTTTGGCCATGACACGCAGTGCGGCGTGCAGAATACGAGTGGAGGGGCGTCTCAAAGCAGCTTGAGGCTTGCTGGCTGCGCTCGAAAGAAGGAGTGCGCTGGTGTGCATCTGTTCGCACATTAGCTTGTGCCGCAGATATTAATGCCATGGGCAAACACCTAAGGTTCAATACTGCCAGGCCACACCCCACATGTTGTAGCTCAACACCCCGTGTGATACAGACACACTTAGGCTTAGTCTGCGACACATCCCGATTTGCCCAACAACAAACACAGGCAGTGCTTCAGCCTGAGGCGAAAGAAAAACAATTGGCCAAAGCTCAAGCAGATCTGGCCAAGCAGTCCGCTAGACACTGAACTTCTCACTTCTGCCAGTGGCATAGGCAAACACACAGCACTCGTTCCCAGGCAGATGTCGGCACATCTAAGAATATGCAAGCCGTAAGTCGTGTCAAGTGGTAGATAGGTATAGTCTCGCACCCTGTTCAACCAGAGCTCTCTGATGTGCTGTCAGTTAAAACACCACTAGCATGGCTTTGGGCTTGTGACTTGGCTGTTGCGCTACGATACAGTCGAGGGAGCTTTGCGATCTGCCTGAGTCTTTCGATTCCTAAGCCAACAGCTTCAAGTCACCATGAAATCCCTGCTCTCGACTTCTTTTTGGGCACTGCCGCACTTAGGGCGGCTGTGTCTCAAGTCGCCGGGAGGGAGCTGGACACGGAAACGGAGCCTGCGCTTTTGTGATACACGCTTGCTCTTGCGAAAGGCAAATTAAGGATCAAGATATGGACGAACACTGCTAAGCAAGGCTCTGCTTTGTTGAATGTAAGTATGAATGTACATCATCATGCATTGTATTGTAGACAGACAGATAGATAGACAGAGAAACAGATAGATCATGTAGATACATGTGCATGTGGATGTGCATGTGCGATACCAATCGAGTTAAAGGATTTTCAATACTCTCTCTTGGCGTGTGGCGAGGTGTGGCATTTGTGAGTTAGGGTTTAGCGTCTTAGCATCGAAATCAGCAGAGTGATCACGGGTGTTCTCCACTTCCGAAAAGAAAAAGCTGATTCCGGAAGGGAACAGCCTCATCCAGAAAGGGCTGAGGTTACTCTGATCCCGAGGAGAAACCACTAACATGACACCGACCCAGGAGATGCTACCAATGTAATGCAAGTGTTGCGGAGCGAGGTGGTCAGGCCTTATATCTTCAACCCAAGGCCTGCTTTCAGGTTGATTTCATGGCTTCCTCTTGGGGGAAGGGAGGCTGGTCGGACTGCAGCCACTCCACGAGGCCGACGGAACGGCTGACCTCCGGTATCTATGAGCCCTGGAGCAGTGCTTCCTCCGAAAACTCCACCGGAAAAACGGGGTACATACGGCAACACTGCCACCTGCAAGCAAGCCAAACCGCGCATCAACAGAGCAGTGAATATGCCAGTCGCCACGATCTTCATGATGGTGTCCACTTCGTGTTGGGGGTACTAGGTAGTCATCTGATGGGCTCAGCGGCACAAGTTGTCGTAGAACAAAACCCGTGGTTACGGAAGCCATCACAACATAGTTCTGGTATACCTGCACCGTAGACCTGCCTATCATAGCAGCGGGCTACATGAATGTCAAACCTTGTCAACCAAAGCGAGAGCAACAGGATGAACACGCACGAAAAGTAAGTCTCGGTCCAGCACCAAATTCCTCCATCCTCACAGTGACTCCGTAAACCGAACCGACTGTGCGCCTACGCTCGCCGAAGTCGGGCAGCGATTTGGCGCCGAGCACGGGAGAGCAAACTGCAGTGGTCGGAACGTTAGGGGGGCGAGTGTTTGAACTTGTACCTCTGGCGCTGTTGTTGCTGTTGCTGTGTCATTGTTACTGTTGGTGGTGGTTGCTGTTGGTGGTTACTATTGCTGGTAGAGAAAACAGCAGCCCGTTACTTGTGTTATCTAAAAAGCAATTGGGAATGCTTCCGGAGACTGGAAATCAACCAAAAATCCTGCCAGACCCCGTGCACCAAAGCTGCTGTGTTGTTGCTGTTGTTGTTGTTGTTGCTGTTGCTGTTGCTGGTGGTGTTGTTGTTGTTGTTGTTGTTGTTACTGTTGCTGTTGTTGTTGTTGTTGTTGCTGTTGCTGTTGCTGCTAAGGGGGGGTGAAACAGTATGACTGGGCTCGTGTTTTGGTCCCTACCGCAGGTACAGACCAAAAGCAGATACATTGGTTGACGGGGCTGCAGTTATTGTCGTTTGTATCCTCTTCGTGTTGTTATTGTTATTGCTATTGCTGCTCTTGGTTGCTGTTGCTGTTGCTGCTTGTTCCTTGTTCATTGTTGCTTTCTGGCTGTTGGCTGTTGGTCGTGGTCGTTGTGGCTGTGGTTGATGCTGTTGCTGTTGCCGCTACTGTTTCTGCTGCTGGTGCTGCTGGTGCCGGTGCCGGTACTGTTGGTGTTGGTGTTATTTCTGTGGAGGTGTAGGTGTGGGGTGCAGGTGTTGTTGGCAGCACAATCAGTCTGAGCTCAAAGCCTGTGCACATCCACACCGTGTAGGTGCGGGTGTCGGTTGTTGTAGTTGTTGTTCCTGATGCTGCTCTTGCTGTCGTGGTTGTTGTGGTTGCTGTTGTTGCTGCTGTTGCTATTGCTGTTGCCGTTGCGGTTGCCGTTGCTATTGTTGTCCCGTGTGGCGTCGTTGTGGTTGTGGTTTTGGTTGTGGTTGCGGTTGGGGATGCGGTTGTGGTCGTGCCTGTGGATGTTGTTGTGCTTGTGGTTGCTGTTGTCGTTGTTGCTGTTGTTGATGAGGGCGGAGGTGTTGTTGGTAGTTGCTGTTGTTTCTTGATGTTGTTGTTCTTGTTGTTGCTGTTATTGGTGTTCTTCTTGTTGCTATTATTGCTTTGTTTGTGTTCTTGTCATTGTTCTTGGTATTGGTCTTGTTCTCGTCGTTGTGGTTGTGGTTGACGTTGTTGTCGCTGTTGCTGCTGTTGGTTCCGACATGACGTAAACGCGCAAAACCGACATGCCGCTTGCATCGGTTTTACAGCGTTTTCTACTCTCGAAGTGCCCTTCCCATCAGTGCCGTCGGCATTTAATTTCGTGTGTCTGCAATTCTTGGTTTTTTGCGACGTTCGGAATTGAATCCTCGGTGTTTGCAGTGCTTTCTTGCCTTGGGTGGTGAACATCGTAAATTACGGTGTTCGGTGCGTCATTGAACTTCGTTCGAAAGACTTTGCTTGCGCAGGGGGTGGGGTCGGGGGGTGGGGGGGTCGTTGGAAAGACCTCTTTCGCTTGGGGGGGGGGGTTGGGGGGATAGCTCCATCATTGAACTTCGTTGGAAAAAAGTCATTCGCTCTTTCTTTCGTGTTTCCTTGCCTTCGCATTTCTTCGCCCTCGACGTTCACAGACACTTTTGGACTTTTACACATCAGCACACGTGATAGGTGCGGAGGGGGTGGGTCGGTCTGGGCGCGGGGGGCGGGGGATTGGGGGGGATAATTCCGTCATTAGAGGACTTCAACGTACACTAACTATAGGGGTTTGTGCTGCTATTGTCGTCCTGGGCTTGCGCTTCCGGGTTTGTAATCTTTACACGTCTAGATTGACTCTTTACTACTACGTGTGTAGAAGCAGCGAAAACAAAACGAAAATAATTTGCTGTGTAACCCGATGTGCTGTAATGTACAGCACTGCATACCTTGTGGCCTTTCAAAGGGAGAAAGCAAAGACAACCGTGTGAATACCGATGCGTTCGCATGCAAATCCAGACCCAACAAACACACGTGCCTTCGAGGTTTTCGGCACTGCAAGTCTATGACATCCTGTAAAAACCACTGCGATCGGCATGTGCGCGGCGCGCATTTACGTCATGTCTGAGCGTGTTGATGTTGTTGGGTAGCATAAACTCTATTTTTCGTTTGTGCTCCGTGGCTCTTGTCTTGAGTCACTGAGCTTGCAACATGTGCCTGGACGGACGGTGATGGGACGCTGTTCTTTTCATGCTTACATATGCCATATGCAGACAGCTCTTGAGACCTCACGGTAGGCTGCAGGGGCGGTTACTTCAAACCCTGCATCCTCAACTCTCGACCAGTTGAACCCAAAGTGCATTGTGCCAAACGGGGCCCATGATTGTCTTCCGGTGCCGAGGCCCAGAAACCTGCAAGTGTAAACCAGGGCTCGTGGGCGATACACGCGAGGATATCCGGGCCAAAAACGGTTGCCATTCCTGAAGCCCCCCTAAGACCCCCTACTGCAACAGATGTCTGCAGTCGCGCGGCTTCTGCCATTTCTTGGACTTGCCTCAGCCAGGACGGACACACAAATGCGGAAGGATTGGGGTTCCACCTGTATTCGGGTGCTTCAAAGCCCTTTGTATGAAATAGGTTCTACAGCTTTGATTGGTTTCCGTCGAGACCATTCATTCGGACTGATTTAGACTTTCTTGCTGCAAGGTCGGCCGGGGCGGCTCCAAGCAGGTTCATTGTCACTGTACCTGCAAACACGAAAGATTGAGACTCGCAGCACACTGTGCTGCGGCTAACTACTAGTAGATACTGCCGGCTTACCTGAAGCCTCGATTGAAGCTCGATTGGACTGCTTTGAGAACGATGACTGGCCCACGGCAGAATTTTAGGTCTCCGAGGTTCAGTATTTTAGGGTTTACAAGCGAGTGTTCTACATTTCCTTGGCGTCCCGGCTGATGGGCTCTTCGGTACGCCGCGTGGCCGTGACGCTGGCAGAGAACGCCTCTCCAAAGCATCGTTTCACTTCTGAACAAAGCCCTGTGGCAAGCCCAGCGCTGTGAGGTCTTGATTTGTTCACCCCGATACATTGTACAGTTTCAGAACTTCAGAGACTTCGTCCAAAACGTATATAACCATGCAACACCACAGTCGAGCCCTCCGGATACCCCAGAACGAGGATGGCCCCTGACCAACGAATTGAATCCTGCTCACGCATCATAGCGCATCGAGAATCAAACATGCGCTTCCACATGTCTGCCCCATGGAACGGCTTCCCCCT